AGTGTGCATTCGGGTCTTCTCAAGTTCATTTTTTGGGTTATATTGTTTCAGTGGAGGGTCTAGCAGTAGATCCCGACAAAGTTGCAGCTATTCAATCTTGGCCTGAGCCTAAGACTTTGTTTGAGACGTGTATTTTTCACGGGCTTAGCTTCCTTCTACCGGTGTTTCATTCCACACTTCAGCAGCGTGATGGCTCATATTACAAAATGTATATGCGAAGGATCTTTTGTGTGGTCTCCAGAAGCTTCTACAGTGTTTGCTTTCATTAAAGACAAACTCAGTTCTGCTCCTGTCCTTTCTTTGCCCGATATCACTTTAGTTTTTGAATTGCATTGTGATGCATCAAAAACTGGCATTGATGCTGTCTTAAGCCAACGGAACAGGCCTATTGCATTTTTCAGTAAAAAGATTGCTGGTTCACGATGTCGTTACAGCACATATGACATCGAGTTTTACGCTGTTGTTCAGGCTGTTAAATATTGGCCACATGATCTCTTTCACAAATTATTTGTTCTCTACACGGATCATGATGCTTTGAAGCATCTTAGTAGCCAAGATAAGGTCTCGTCTCAACATGCTTCGTGGATTGCCTATTTACAGCAGTTTACTTTTGTGATCAAGCATACCTCGGGCATTTCCAATCGTGTGGCAGATGCTTTAAGTCGTCGGCATTCTCTTTTGTCGGTCTTACACTCTTCTGTTACGAGATTTGCTTCCTTTGCAGATCTTTATCCTACTGATCCTTTTTTTGGCAACATTTGGAATGCTGTGATCGCAGGCTCTTCTCCCGACTATACTTTGCATGATGGGTTACTCTTCCGTGGTACACGTCTGTGTGTCCCTGACCGTAGTTTACGTCTCAAGCTGCTTTCCGAGCTTCACAATGAGGGTCATGTTGGGCGTGATCGCACCCTTCACCTCGTGTCTTCTTCATATTTGTGGCTTTCTCTTAGATGAGATGTGGAGCGTTTTGTGGAACGCTGTATGGTTTGTTAAAAATCAAAGGGTCACACCTTAAATGTTGGTCTCTATCTTCCACTACCCATCCCGACTCAGCCTTGGACTGATATTAGCATGGATTTTGTGGTGGGTCTTCCTCGTACTCAACACGGGTTTGATTCTATTTTTGTGGTGGTGGATCGATTTTCCAAAATGGTCCTTTCATTCCTTGCAAAAAAAAAACCACAGATCGATGCCCTGCAGGTCGCTTCTCTTTTCTTTTGTGAAATTTATCGTCTTCATGGGTTGTCATCCTCCATTGTTTCTGATCGAGATTCATGATTTTTGGGGCACTTTTAGAGATCTTTGTGGAAGATGTTGGATACAAACCTCAATATGAGTTCTGCATACCATCCTCAAACTGATGGTCAAACGGAAGTAACTAACAGATCTTTGGGGGGGGGGGGGGGGGTTTGTTGAGGTGTTTAGTTGGTGATTCCATCAGGACTTGGGACTCTCGTCTACCACAGGCTGAGTTTGCTCATAACCATACGCTTAATCGTAGTTCCGGAGTTTGCCCTTTTCAGGTGATTTATGGGATGATTCCTCGTGGTCCTTTTGACTTGACAACTTTACCTAACCATATGTGTCTTCACGGCGACGCATCTGTCTTCATCAAGGATATTTCACGTGTTCATGCTGAGACAAAAGGCCATTTGGAGGCCTCGGTGTTGAAGTACAAATCTGCAGCTGATTTTCATCGTCGTCGCCTCGTGTTTGAAGTTGGCGATCTTGTTTGGGCATTTCTCACTAAGGATCGTGTTCCTTCCGGTTCTTATAACAAGTTAAAGCCTAAGAAAATTGGACCTCTCAAAGTGATTGAGTGCATTAATGATAACGCTTATCGTCTACACCTTCCTGCTGGTTGTAACACTTCTGATGAGTTTAACATTCACCATCTTTCACGGTTTGTTCCAACAGATCCCATATCCGATTCGAGGATGAATCTTTCAAACCTGGGGGGATCTGATGCAGCAGCATCTTGACGTTTGCTTAAATACTTTTGGTTTAGCTTTGGTTTTCGATTTGGTTTTCTATAATAGACTTTCAATTGGTTCAAGTGTATTTCCTTTTCTTTTTTTGCAATATTTCCTTTTATACGAATAATTTTTTTTTCCTAAATCTTTAAGAAAGTCGTATGTGACCGACCTTAAGAGACTTCTATTTTAATCTTTGTATTCCTTTGCGAAGAGGACAGTTATTGGCATTATTAATAATAACGAGTTTTCGTTTACCTTGTTCTTGAGATTCTCTGAATTTCGATCATAAGAAGCGACTCCCAAGTGATTTTTTACGTGAATTGCACGGTTTGAACTAGGTATCGCATCAGTACGCGGCGCCAAGATGTCCAAATATTGCATTAGCATCTCCACAAAACTTAACATGTCTATAGCCCATTCTTGCAATGTCCATGGTAGCCATGTGTAATGCTTCAGCTTCAGCCTCTTGCGGAGATTGGATTGGGGGTATTGCTGCGAGACCTTCAAAAATCTGATTACCCTCCTGATCAAATAAGACCCATGCAACACCATCATTATGTCTTATGGAGATCCAAGAAGCATCCATACAACAAGAGAGTTATCTTTCTTCTGCTCTGTTTTGTTGAGTGTCTTTGTTAGGCAAATTTGTATTAATCAACAGCATCATCTCTAATTCTCTCTGTCATTGGTTTTCTGCTTCCTACCAAATCTGAAAATCAATCAACGCTTTACTAATGATATCTGAAATATGCCATCTTCTTGCATTGAAACATTATCATTTCCATTCTTCCATAATCTCCAGGGCGGACCCAGAGGTGGATTTTAAGGGGGGTCAAAATAACAAGAAAAGTAGTGTGCTGAACTCGAACCCAGATTAGAGGGGGTCAATGAACCTAATTTACCAACTGTGCTATTGAAATTTTAAGTACTTGTACTCATAAAAAAAATATTATGAAGATTTATGGTGGGTCATGTGACACCCCTTTCTTCTTAGTAGGTCCGCCTCTGACCCAACATATAGAAAAGCATTAGTGAATCAGGGTTTTGAGTATTCATTTTTTGGAACATTGAATAATTCTCAAAAAGAGAGTTAATATACTCAGTTGTAGGTGTATTCATGCTCGGCTCATGGCGTAGGCGATGTAGGCGATCGACTAGGGCTCCCAAGAAAAATTATAGGCTCTTTTTAATAAAAAATTTGAATATTCAAATTTTATTTAACCAATGAAAGGGACACATTTTTAATTTTTGACTATGGCCTTAGAAAGACATGAACCAGCACTGGGTGTATTTAAAGGAGAAAGATCACAAACCTCTCGACTGATATGACAATGGAATAAGAGATGAACCACAGATTCTTCTGTCTCTCCCCACATTGGACAAATGCTATCTTCTAAGACTAGTCTTTGCTAAAGCTGTTTGGCAACCAGAAGAGCTTGATGAAAAGCTCTCTACCAAAAGTGGGAAAATTGGCTTTTTCCTACTCTAACTATGAGAAGATGTTAAACTCAGTTCTGAATTTACCATCAATGCTAAAATAAATGTGAACTTCGTTTTAAGTTGAATCTCATACCTGAACTATCAATTTTGTGCTAAAACCTTCGATCGTCTAAACAATGTTAAGTCTCCTGTTAATTCAAGTCGACGTGGATGACACGTTGGCAACATCTTCGTTTTAAGTACTGCGAAATCACTCAGGTTTCCAAACGCAAAACGACGTCGTTTTATAGCTAAGAACTAAAATTATGTCGTTTAGATAAACACAAGTCGGAAACTTAACACTGGGTATGGAATCGGGTGGGGTGATAATAATGGAAACGGGTATGGACAGCCATGGGAGAAAGAAGCAAGAGATCTCTAAATAGAAAGTCAGCGTTTCTGCAGCAATTATCAGTCCTTACAGGTACGAATTGCTTATAGGTTTTTCCAATTTAAGATCTTTCTTATTTGATAGTATCTTAGATGTTTTTTCAATTATGCTGATGGATTCGATTTACCCTGGTCTAAAGTTTTGATTTTTCTTGTGTGTAATGAAACAGATTACTCATTGCGCTGTGTTTGGTGGCTCTTGGTTTGTTCCTGACATAGATGATTCGCCACCCAAATTGAGAGGCATTGTGATTGTGGGAGATGTCAACGGTCTGTGAGCTTTGTTTTGCCTTTTCTTGGCTTTTGGACCAGCTTCCAAATCTTTGTCCGGTTAACAGAATAACCGATTTAAATGTTCTCAAGGAAGCTTTGAATCTCCCAACTTCAGGAATCCAAAAGGAAGATCTGATTTCTGGGTATCGATGTGTTTGTCTCAACCGCAGACCCTGAGAAAGAACCGCCTCTGGTCACAGCCAACACCATCCTCTCCAATCTAGCCGTTGATTATCCTGTGTTTCTGGTGTGTCGAGGTCGAGAGGTTGAACAAAAAGTGCGAGCCATTTTTGGGCCAAACGACATTGTTTAATCATGAAAATCAAAGCATCATCGTTTTATCATTTTCTTCTCAAATTTTGACAACCTAATACGACGTCTTCGCTTACGTAAATGTAAATGTCACGTAGACTAGTTTTGACGGCAAGTAACACCGTGAGGACAAAAGTAGGTTTAAGCATGAAAAATCATGAAATTTAAATTATAATGCAGATTAAATATTTTTAAGCACTGTATACAGTTCTGGCATAAATTAAACATCTGTGCAAAGTTCAGGTTAGAATAAGCCAATTTTCCACTAAAAATGATTTTTATCTTTGGAGGCACTTCTTGTTTCCAAATGACTTTAAACAAATGTGATGGAGTGGTTGAGGTCTGACTTTTTTGAATTTTAAGAAGATTATATCCCGACTTCACTTAGTATTCACCTTTAGTACTTCGGTTTTGTGGGGAAAAAAAAATCTTCAACACTACACCGAAAAAAAAAATAAAAAAACTTCAACACCATTTAGTGTTTACACAGAGTTTGGGCCGATGTAAAAAGAAATGGTTTGGGCCCAACTGTAGCATGGGTATATAAAAAGAGCGTTCAGTTAATCTGAAGAGGTCTGGGCGTACAACAAACACTAAAGAAACCCTAGTTTTCGAATCCATTTTGGCGATACTGTTAGACGGCGCGAGCTTCTCGATCTTTTCTCTCAGACACAGTTCTTCTCTTCAGATCAAACAATGGTAATTAGTGTTTACGATTTCTTTTCACATTTCTCAGTTTTGTTTTTCATCTCTTGGATCTCTTACTTGATTTACTGTTTCCCATCGATCTGGAATAGTTATAGCTTTTCGTTAAAAATGCATCTATCCCGTATGAATCCAATATTTTCTGCTAATTCAACAGTGAATTAAGATTAGGTTTCGGATTTTTGTGTTGATTTTCTGAAACGAGAGATAATAATGAGCGAAGAACCAAAAGTATCTTAGTATCTTTTGATCTTCTGTTTATGCGCAGGCTTTTGATAATTTATTTTTATGATTTTTGATTTTTATTTCTGATTGTTACTGTGTAGTCTCTGGTTGCAAACGAGGAGTTTCAGCACATTCTGCGTGTGCTCAACACTAACGTTGATGGTAAGCAAAAGATTATGTTTGCCCTTACTTCAATCAAGGGTATTGGGAGGCGAATGGCCAACATTGTCTGCAAGAAAGCCGATGTCGACATGAACAAGAGGTTTGTGTGCTTGTCTCTCTTGTCTTTTGTTTTGTCTTTCAAGCATGTTTTCGATGTCATTCAATATCCAAACCTTTAGAAAGTTCGAATAGAAATTACTACTGATTCTGCATCAACCAGATTCGTGTTGTCTGTTCAAATGATATGAATTATGTTTCAGCTTTGTTGTCTTAGCTGGTCTTCGAATGTCAAACTTAGCCAATACTTTTGCTCTTTCTTTTGGTTCTTTTTGACTGTAACGGCCCTTGTTTCTGTTTCAGGGCTGGTGAGTTATCTGCAGCTGAGATTGACAACCTCATGACAATTGTTGCGAACCCAAAGCAGTACAAGATTCCAGACTGGTTCTTGAACAGACAAAAAGACTACAAAGATGGAAAGTACTCTCAAGTTCTCTCCAATGGTCTTGACATGAAGCTCAGGGATGATCTTGAACGTCTCAAGAAAATCAGGTAAACTCATCACACTGATCCCAATCATAGAACTCGCTACCACTGTGTGTTCTCTATGTGTTGGATTGAATGATTTTATGTAACGGTCCCTCGTCAATTACAGGAACCACCGTGGTCTGAGACACTACTGGGGTCTCCGTGTCCGTGGACAACACACCAAGACAACTGGTCGCAGAGGAAAGACTGTTGGTGTGTCTAAGAAGCGTTAAGCCCTAATGTTGCTTGTTGCAGCTGGATTGGATCTTTGTTAAGGACCGATTTTAAGTTTTGTTATTCGTACAATTTTGCACGACTTGATTCCGGGTCTTGCACGACTCGATTTTGGGTCTTTTATGAGAGATCTTTACTACTGTTTTATTGCATTCTAAGATAATGTTTTGTCGTCGAATCTTTATATCACTTCTCTAGGTTGCATCTTTTGATTTCCTAAGCAAAATTACTCGCATTGCTGTTTTGGAAAAATAGTATGGATTTGTTTGGTAATCTCACATTTGATTCAGCGATCTTCTCATTTTAGTTGTTCGAGTACACAATAATATTACAGTTGTATCTCTATCAATAATATTACAGTTCTAAAATTAGATTTTTGTCTGTTTATTTATCGACAATGAACATCCTAAATAGTATTTGAACAAAAAAAAAAGAAAATCCTAAATGGTAAAGAGAAAATTTCTTATAATTGTAGCTTGATTCCGCAAAAACATTACAAAAAATCTCAATCGTCTGTGTAGAAAAAAAAAATAATCGTTTTTATCGCACCAAAGCAAAATTAGCACGAGGATCATAAATTAAGCTAAAAAAAGAACAACTCAGAACTCAGAACAGAGATGTCACTATGTGATGTTCCTGATAATTTACTACTTACTATACTACTACTAAGCCTTGTCTTCATTGTCGTCAGAATCCGAAGCAGCTCCGAGTTTCTGTTGACGAGTCGTTGGAAGAGAATAGCTTCGTCGCTCTTTGCCTCCAGGCTTGGAAGAGGCATTACCGTACCAGATCATACCGAGTACTGCAATAACCATTCCAATAACCACATGCAAGTTTAGACCTTCTCTACCAAAGAAGAAGAATCCCATTATCAGCACCAAGATCGTCTTCATGTGTCCCAGGACTTGGAACGACACAGCTGTGAATCTCCCGATGCAGATGAACTGGCTTAGGTTGGTCCCGATTGCTATCGTGCACGACAGGGTTATAAACAGCTGCAGAACTCAAAAAACATGTTAGGTTTCAAATGATTTGGCGTTAAGGGTATAGGTAAGGAATGAGAAACTGTTCTTAAGTTAACTAAGAAACAAGCTAGACTCTTATAGAACAAGGTTGGTACCAAATCAGACCTTGAGGAGAGTCAAGTTGAATCTAATGCCAATCAGACTAAGGGAGGAAACTTAATGAGGGTTTTATGGAGCTTACCACGGAGACCAAGTTGTAGTCGTACATGTCTACTCTTTTTTCTGTCAGCCAATAATCAAGAAACGGGCCAACTACAAGCAATGTTGCGGCTTGAGCTGGAGCGGTATGTCCCAATAGGTTGAATGAGCTAAGCGAGTACTTGCGCTGAAGGTAATGTACATACTGCATTCATGTATAAACGACGCCAATCTTAGTTTTGAGTTTAAACAAAGGAACGATATGTTACTTTTGTAAGAGTTGAGAGCACTTACGTATTGTTGCAGAGAAGTGCTCCACACAGCAACAAAAGCGGCTAGAAAGCCTTTGCTATTCACACTAACATCAGTAACAGTGCAAACACCAACACCGACAAGAACCAGTCCTATGCTAAGCTTTGTGTCTCTTGAGTAACGGATCTTATCGAAAACCATCTCCAACAAGCAGGATACAGGAATCATGCTGAGCTTTGCAATCTGACAAACAAAGGACACAACTGAAACCAAGATTAGATGTTCTTCTTTGCGCAACCGCAGAGATTACAGAGATAGATAAGATAGAATTCATTTATTATCACCTGATAGAAACCCACAGAGTTCCACATAAGACTGACGTTCATACCAACGATGGAGAAGTTTGCAAACAGAATAAATCTCATAAGCTCCGTAAATGGAAGATGAGAAGGCTGAATGTAACCAAGACATCTTAGAACAATCGTCATCAGAGTTGTGGTAGCGAAATGTAAACCGGTCAAGGTTGTAGCTGCAACGAAGTCGAGACATAAGTGAAAGAACAATCAGAGGAGACAATAACTTCATGTTTTCAAAAGAAGAAGAGAGATCAATAGAAGAGGTTTTACCAAAGCTATAACCATAAGTCGCCATTAAAGCTTTATTGACAATGATGATACCAACAGAAGTGACGACATTGAACATCCAAGCAGCAGCATCTACTGCTGCTTTCTTATCAGCTTTACTAACAGGAGCCATTTTAAAAAATCTCTCTCTTCCTTAATCAGCAAATCTTCTATTGATCTTCTTCAACCTCCCATTCTCCGGAGACTCGCTCACAATTTCCGCTAATCATGATTGAAATCACAAAATCAGTGAGAAAGCAAAAGCGTAAGAATTTAACTTCCATAATAATTCATACACGAGCTAGCCTCAAACCCATTTTGTTCGATCGCGATTCTAACTTGTTTAATCAAAAGTAATTTGAACGATCAAAAACCAAAAATTTCTAATCAGATCGGATCCGGCTCCGGAGATTGGAATCAGAACGGATTTTCGTAAGATCCGATCTCAACGGAGCCGAAGCAGTGATTGGAAACGACCGATCGTTTCTCAATCGACATTATATCATCAAATCCGAGGAGAAAACACACGAATTCAAGAGAAAGAGAAGAAGAATCCGAGGGCGTGGAGTTACCTGGAGAGAGCAATTGGGAAATGAATGAGGCGGAGGTGATCGGAGAAGAGCACCGGCGCCGTCGGCGGCGAGAGTGGTAAGTGTTTGGCTGAGAAGAAGAAAATGTAATCTGAACAAAGGCAGTTGGGAAGCGTAAGACTCGTGGAGCGAGAGTAGTAGTAGTCAGCTCCAGCAAAATCGTTCCTTTTATTTATTTTTACTATTTTTATTTTCAATGTATCTGCAAATTTGCAATCATAGTTATTACACCCTCAAGATTCAAACAAAATAAAGGGTTCGGATTTCGGAGAAGTCGGATAAGAATATATTTGTGATGTTGTATAAGTATTAGAGTATCCAATTTTTTTTGGCATAGTTTAATTTTTGATTAGTAATGCTAAACCGTAGCTAAATGTAGATAGAAACTTGCAATTGTATTCAGGTCCATTAGACCATCTTCAACCATAAAACCAAATTTGTTGTTGTAAATAGTGTAAAATTTGGTGTAAAAGTGAATAATGGTTTTTTAATCTCCAACCATAACATCAAATCTCACACTAAAAACAATATTTTATATTATTATATTATTAAATTGATTTTTTTTTATTTTTTTAATAATTTTATGAATACTAATTATTCATAAAATAGATTAACTAATAATTTGACTAAAATTATCTTGTTGTATTTTGTTTTTCTTTTTTATGTTTTTTGTTTAATTCAATAATTTTATGTTGAAATGTTTAATTGAAATTTATTATGTATTTTTAGTCTTAATGTATTTACATATTAATAACGATATTTTGTACAATTCTAAATTACAAGAATGGATTCTACATTTTTAAACCAACATAATTTAATTACTAATAAATAATAATATAATTATGTGAGTAAATAAAAAAATAATATTTTAATTTTTGGTGTTGTGAATAGTGTTGCACCAAATTTAGTGAAATACTATTCACAAAACACCAAAAAAAAAATTGATGTTAGATTTAGTGCATCATTGGAGAAGAATCAACAGTATATTTGGTGTTTTTATGCATGGTTGGAGATGGTCTTCGCAGTTGACAGCTTTATATGTTGTTTTCTCGCAATCTCCATCTATTTTGTCGATCCAGGCCTGACTTGCGTGATATTTTATTCCTTTTGAAAGGCCCAATGAAAAGAAAATATTGGACTTTATCTCTCCTTGACTAATTCAAGACAAATGATCTCTCATCGACAGAGAAAGTCCAAACTAAGGTTGATTATAAAGTTGTCAACTCCTAATGGACCATATGTTACTTTCTCGCAATCTCGTCTATTTTGTCGACCCAGGCTTGACTCGCGTGATATTCTATTCCTTTTGAAAGACCCATTAAAAAGCAACATATGGTCCATTAGCAGTCGGCAGCTTTATAATTAATCTTAGCTTGAACTTTTTCTGTCAATGAGAGATCACTTGTTTTAAATTAGTCAAAAGAGAGATAGAGTCTAATATTTTCTTCATATTATCATTTCCACTAATGTTTTTGAGATCTAATCCATCATCCTTCCTCTTTATGGACCGTCTATTTAAAAAAAATGTTTTGATGCCAACAACAAAAATCTATAGTAACAATTCATAGCAAACAATATCGCAAACTTTTTAGATTTTTAAACGGATAGGTTTTTAAGCTTTTATATTTCTAATTATGTTGTTTTGTGTTATCTCCCGAGAAGTCAATGTTGTGACTGACTTGTTAGGGAAAGCTTTATTGCTCAGTTGAGGTTTGGTATTCTCTATGTTTCACAAAAATGTCATTTTGACATATTTCATATAAATTAAGAAAATTTATAGAAATTCTATTTTACCTTTTATTAATACATTAAATAATTTTTTTTACTAATTAATACATTAAAACAATAGGGTTAAAACTAGATTTTAAGGAAAAAAATTGTATTGAAAATACAAAATAATATTTTTTTGTAAAACAAAAATAAAATTTTGGAGTGACACTCTTTATGAAATATTTATGAAACAGAGGGAATATTATGTTTTACAAGAACAAAGAAAAAACTGATACGTTTGACTACTGACTACACAGGATTCAGAGAAGATCCAACTGCCTTCTTCAACTGAGACACGTGTAAAGGAGGATGTATGCATGCTTCAGGAGGCAAAGCAAGTCGATATGCAACATTACCCACCTTGGCTTCGACTGCAAACGGTCCGTAAAAACGAGCAGAAAGTTTCTCATTCATTCGGACGACGAGCTAAAGATTACCTGCGGCAAGGATGCATATTGAGGAATACTAAGTCACCCACGTCGAAGGTCACATCTCTGTGATGGGCATCTGCACTCTGTTTCATCAGCTGCTGGGCTTTGTGCAAGTGTCCCCGAAGAAGAGCCAGAGTGTCATCACGTTCCCTCAGCTTGGCCTCCAAATCCACGTTAGAGGTAGACCCATTTTTGTATGGGAGAAAGGACGGTGGATCTTTGCCATACAGTGCTTTAAACGAAGGCATTTCAATGGTGGAGTGAAAAGACGTGTTGTAGCTGAGCTCGGACCACGGCAGAAACTGAGACCAGGTGTGTGGTTTGTCACTCGCAAAACAACGCAGGTACGTCTCCAGACCACGAATGGTCATCTACGTCTGTCCGTTGGACTATGGATGATACGCTGTGCTGAAACACAGATTAAACATTACCAGACAAAAGAGTTCCTTCCAAAAACTGCTGGTGAAGACTCTGTCACGGTCGCTAACAATGGACCTGGGAAATCCATGGAGTTTAATGACCTCGTGCACAAAGATGACAGCGACATCAGTAGCTGAGAATGGGTGCTTCAAGCGGATAAAGTGAGCAAACTTTGTGAGCCTGTCAATGACCACCAGTATCGAGTTGTAACCTTCCAACTAGGGGAGCCCTTCCACAATATCCACCGAAATATCCTCCCACACCGTCAACAGAATGGGTAGAGGCTGGAGAAGGCCGTTAGGAGCCAATGTCGAGTATTTTTGGCGCTGACAAACTTGACAACCGGCAACATAGAGACGAATATCAGTCATCATCCCTGCCAAAAGAACATCTTCGCAACACGTTTTTGAGTTTTAAGCACACCACCATGACCTCCCAATTTCCCATCATGAAACTCCTTCATAATCAGTCCGATCAGGGAAGACGTTCTGGGAGGCACCAACTTACCCTTCCGAAGCAGACGTCCGTTCACCACCGTATAATCTGAATTGGCCGAAGAATTGGAGAGACAATCCATTATTATCTTCCGAAGCTCAGGATCCTTGTCTACCTCACTGCAAATCTCATCTAACTGAATAGTCGCATGAACAGATAATGCTGAAAGTTCTGCAGCCGTAGTCTTTCGAGACAGAGCATCAGCAGCTTTATTTTCCAGACCCGACCTGTATTGAATCTCAAAATCGAATCCCAATAGCTTCGTGAGCCAACGCTGATACTCGAGATTCACCTCACGATGTTCCAACAAATGCTTCAGGCTCTTCTGATCAGTCCACACCAGAAATTGCCTACCGAGTAAATAATGGCACCATTTTTTAATGACAAAGACAATGACCATTAACTCCCACTCATAAACCGATTTCAGGCGTTGTCGCTCAGTCAGAGTCTGACTGTAGTAGGCCAATGTGATGTTGCATCAAGACTGCTCCCAGACCTATCCTTGATGCATCCGCTTCGACGACAAACTGAGAGCTGAAATCTGGTAACGCGAGTACAGGGGCAGTAGTCATCGCATTTTTCAATGTCTCGAAGGCTGTTGTCACAGTCTCACTCCAATGAAAGCATTTCTTCTTGAGCAGCTCCGTGAGAGGCTTACCTACCACACCATACCCTCGAACAAACTTACGGTAGTAACCCGTAAGACCCAAGAATCCCCTCAATTCCTTCACATTACGAGGCTGCTTCCAATCTGTCATCGCTTGGATCTTGCTCGGGTCAGCAACGACACCCTCCGCCGTGATGATATGTCCCAAGTATTCAACCTGCGTGCAACCAAAGTGGCACTTCTTGCGATTGGAAAATAGCTGATGCTTGGACAGAACACTCAAAACCTCCCTGACATGAATAACGTGTTTTGCCATCGTTCTGCTGTACACCAAGATGTCGTAAAAAACACCAATACGAACCTCCATAGAAAGCTGTGGAAAACGTTGTTCATGAGTGACTGGAAAGTGGCTGGTGCGTTTGACAGGCTAAACGACATCACAAAGAATTTTTAGTGGCCGTCATGAGTGCGAAAGGCTGTTTTCTGAACATCAGTATCCTTAACCAGAATCTGGTGGTATCCAGAACGCAGATCCAACTTCGTATACACCGTCGCTCCCCACAACTCATCTAGAGACTGATCAATGATCGGGATCAGGTAACTGTCAGCCACCGTAACCTTATTGAGAGCACGGTAGTACATGCAAAACCGCCAACTCCCATCCTTCTTTTTGACCAGGAGAACCGGGCTCGAGAAAGGCCATTTGCTTTCCCGAATTATGCCCGCTGCCAAGATCGCTGAAACCTGTTTCTCGATCTCCAATTTCTGAGCGTGACGATGACGGAACAGACAGACACTCAAAGGGCTCGCTTCAGGTGTTAGGGTGATGGCGTGTTCCTTTCCACGCAAAGGAGGGAGACCGGTGGGTTTGCCGAAGACCTGATCAAACTCCGTCAGCACAGGAGTAGCTCTGTAGGAGTATGTTGCGTGATAACTTCAACAGCAGATTGTAATCCGCAAAACTCTACCAACATTCCTTCACCGTCAGTTGTTAACGTCTTCAACAACGAGAGCTGCATAGACTCAAATCACCCTGCAGTGTGACCTTGACCCCATCAATCTTGAAGGACATCACTTGCAGGGTCCAGTTAATCTTTGTGGTGCCCAAAGTCTCGAGCCATTGAGCTCCTAAGATAACATCCACACTCCTGAGTTTAAGCGTAAATAAGCTCGTGGTGACCCGATACTCCTGCATCAGTAGCTCCACATTGCGACACAGCCCTCTGCGTGGACCACAATACCTTTTCCCGTCAAAACTCCATATCCTGACGTATCGTCGGTAGCTAAACCCAATTTGTGGACCACTTTTTCCGAAATGAAATTGTGGGATGCGCCGGAGTTGATTAAGACCACTACCCCTTTCGTCAAAATTGTACCCCAGACCTTGATCGTCTGAGGTGAAGAAATCCCTATCATTGAGTTGAGGGAGAGTTCAGCGAGCTCCATGATTTTTGGTTCAGCTTCCGCGATGTCATCCATCTAGAAGTCTGCCAGCTCCACCTCGGTGCCGTCATCCGGGACCACCAACACCTGCAGTTCCTATACGCGACACTTGTGATTGGCGTGAAACTTCTCGTCACACTTGAAACATAGCCCTCCGCCTTCCATTTTGCGACCTCCGCCGGCGTTAAACGTCGAAAGGGTGGTTTCAGCCGGTTGTGGAAAGTCGACGATTGTTGGGCCTGATTAGGGCTCTTATGTGTTGAAGGCCCACTCGGAAAACCTGATAGCCCGCAGAGGTTTTGGGCTTAAACGACGAAGGCCCAGATCCACCGCTCTGACCCCAAACGAGTGGTGCGTGTAGGAACGGCCATCCGAGGGATGCGACACTCGACCTCTTCCCGTCGACGTCAGCTCCGGTGAGAGATCCAGCAACGCCCATTCCTCGACTAGTTTTGCGGCACTCATCATACTCTCCAGGCCGGACGCCCCTAATATCTTTACACTGGCTCTGATTTTAGGTTTTAAGCCGATTAAAAATGTCATTTCCAACACCCGCTCTGAAATTTTGGGGGCGTTCGACGCCAGCGCGATGAACTCTTTACAATAAACTCTCACCATATCCTTCTGACGCAGTGTTAGCAGTCCTCGGGAATTCATCATACTCTCCAGGCCGGACACCCCTAACATCTTTACACCGGCTCTTATTTTGGGTTTTAGGCCGATTAAAAATGTTATTTCCAACCCCCGCTCCAAAATTTCGGGGGTGTTTGAGGCCAGCGCGATGAACTCCTTGCAATACACTCTTCTTGTATCCTCCTGACTCAATGTTAGCAGTCGCTCGCTGACGCTGGTGTCATGCGCGGTAGCAAACTGTTCCATCATGCGTTTTTTCAGGTGTTCCCAGGTACGAACTGTTCCATCACGCGCCTCGCCGATGAAGCACATCCGCGCTGCCCTGAGCTTGTCGGATTCAGAAAAAAATTCGAGCTCAAGGTATTGCTCCACACGCACAACCCAACTCTCCACTTGTTCGCCATCGAAGAATGGCAGTTTTATCTTCTTAGTTAATGGAGTGGAAACATCCTCCGGAGGAACCCACGCCGCCGGTTTGGGTGGCGACGACACGTCGCGATGCACCGATCCACCGATGTTACTCTCCTGCGAACAAGACATTACCACCGGTGAACCCGTAGGATCGCATACCTCTTCTGCAACCCCCTTTTGTTTGCGATCCATCTCCTGTGTCTCCCAGTGTCGAGCCATCCGCTCCAGCACGCTAAGTTTGCTCAGCTGATGTTGCATCTCCTCCAAGCAACTGAGCTTCCCTCTGATCTCGTCCACCCCGTGCAGTTGCTCCTGGATCTCCTCCATATCCTTTTTCCAAGGCCGCGATTTTGAGAATCTCCGTCGGTAGATTTTCGATCATCTTCTCAGCGTCCTTTCGTGGTGGCATCGTTGGTCCGTCGGAAAGAAGGCTCTGATACCAAGTTTGATACGTTTGACTACTGAAAACGGAACAAAAATAAGGCAAAAGAGAAAATGTGGATTGTATTGCTTTTCTGATCAAATAAGTACAAGATATAAGAGAATGTTATGGAGTCTATCCCTCCTCTACAACTTTGATTAATTTCTCGATAAACGATACTACCTCCAACCTCTTTACTTATATATTCTTCTGTGCACACCAGAACACATCACCTTCTCTCACGTGATCCGTTGCATACCTCGGGATCCCACTAACTGTGGTTTATTCTTTAACTATAGTAGTAACTTCCAGGGTTAAGCTCCCTCGTCAGCTAATCCATCTGTCCCATCCTTTGCTGAACCATTTCCTGTAATTTGGGCTTTCTTCTTCCTCGAATATGTGTGAATAATGGGTGGCCTTTGGGCGTCGTCGTTATAAAAAACCTCTTATCTACCTCGTTAAATCAAATGCATTAACAGACAACTGCAAACCATTATAGGAGACATTTACTAATAATACGTATTGTTCACAAGATTGGAATATAACTATTCTCTACGAAAACCAAGTTTGCAAAACTGGCAAACAATCAAGGTCAAATTTTCCAATCATATTTTTACCCTCCTCGTTCGATTAACCGGTTACTATTTGATGAATCATATGACCATGTAACTTTAGTAAAGAGTGTCATTCTGACATAAAGAGTGTCATTCTAACATTTTTCACACATATTAAGAAAATTATTAAAAGTACAATTTTATCCCTTATTAATACTTTAAATAATTTGTTTTTATCTAATAAATATATTAAATTAATAGGGTTACAACTGGAATATCGTTTAAAATTTTGCATTGAAAATATAAAACAACACTCTTTATGAAACAAAAATAAAATCTTAAAACGATACTCTTTGTGAAACGGAGGGAAAAATAATTTTTCCAATAATAACAATTTCATCCTTTTGTTTGATCCAGTTCACGTTGTTGATTGATTGATTTGTCCTCAGATCGAAATGTTTTTTTAAGAAGTTACAAGTTCCGACATTTCAACGCCTCCAAAGTGATTTGAATTGATTCGAAAAATCATAACATCAGATTTGTAATCTCCATCGAAAAAATGCTAACTTTTCAATGTCGGGTCGGTTTCTAAACCGGACCCACTCACGCGCCGCTAGTTTACTTATGAGTCGCCTTTTCATAGCAAAAGCAAACCCATCAAAGCTTCTCCTTTTAGGAAAAAAAATCGTATTTTTCCTCTCTCTCACTCTCTCTCTCTCTCTGCTTTCGCCGGCATTTTCTCCGGTTATCTCTTCTTCGTCTCTCAGATCCGTCAGGTAAATCTTGAGTCTCTTCCTCTTTTCGCCAATTTGGTTTTTGTTTTTACTGTTTCCTTCTAAATCTAAAGGTGAAAGAAAAGTGGAACTCACTAGGAAGTGTTTAAAGTTCGTAGCTTTACGGTGAAACTATTTAGCTACTGATTCGAGAAATTGTTTGTAACTTCTGTTTTTTTGGTTAGATTTGCTGCATTTAGTCGAACTTTTTATGCCAAATCAGAGTTACTTATTCAAGAAAATGAATGCAATTTCTGTTTTGTGGTTTTAATTTGCTGCATTTAGTCGAACTTTACATGCCAAATCAGAGAAGAAAGAACAATTGAAAAGTTTGTTTTGGTACGTGCATATTGTGAATTTGATTTGATTCTGGATACTGGTTTAGGGATTGGAGTGTGTGCACATTAAAAAAAACTAGTTCTTGGATGTGCAAATGAGCACTATCACAAATGTTATTTGCAGCAGACTTGTGTTTTAGTAGCTTTATTGTGAACCCATTTAGTTACTGATTCAAGAAAGTGTTTGTACTCTCTGTTTTGTGGTTTTGATTAGCTGCATTTAGTCGAACTTTTCATGCCAAATCAGAGAAGAAAGAAAAAAAATGAGAAGTTTGTTTTGATACTTGCATATTATGAATTAGTGATTTGATTCTGGACTTTTGGTTTAGGGATTGGAGTGTGCACAAGAAAAAAAAAAAACAGTTTTTGGATGTGCAAATGAGCATTATCACAGATGTTATTTGCAGCAGAAGGTGGAGGATTCTTCTCTTCATCAGCTTCTGGGTATAGCAACGGTTTAGCCCTTCTTCTATTGGGCCAGAAAAATGAACAAAAACCAGTAAGAGTATCACCATGGAACCATTATCATTTGGTAGTTGAGGAAACTGATACCAAATTTCACTTAGCTCCGTCTAAGAACTGGCTCTCGCGTCGCTGCACTTCTCTTGTATGCTTTGGTCGCAAATCTGAAAGACGGGAGGAGGATCCATCTCCTATCCGAGTCAATTCTTCTCAACCGAAAGATCATGTATCGAGTGTGGACTATAATGGTGTAGTCACTAATAATAGGTTTGCGCTTAAGAGCAGCCTGAAGAAAAGATCATTCAGCGACGTTGTTCTTGCTGATGTTGATGATGTGAGTAGAGATGGCGTGTTGGATCACGCAGATCGAAGGAAAGTGCAGTGGCCTGACACTTGTGGTATTGAGATTGCTGAGGTCAGAGAATTTGAGCCTAGGTATGAATTCTCTCTCTCTTTCTCTCTCTTATGAAAAAAGATTTGTCAAAAAATATCACGGCTGCTCTATGTATGTGTGGCTGATAGATTTCATTTTTGGTGTATATTAAAGAATAACCTTTATTCCATAAATGTAGATGCAACTTATATGAAACAAGTCAAATTGACCCTCCTTGTCTGCTTAAAATTGGTTAGGAACATCACATGTCATGATCTTTCCACATTCTTCTATGTAAACTTAAGATCATAGTCTTAGATTTGATGGTAATATCGTTTACATGTTTGAATTTTGTAAGACACTATATCATGAGTAAGAAACAGTATTACATATCCAAAAAATATTCTATGTATTCATTTCTTGAATGTATAGTTGTATAGTACTAGCAGATTTCCGTTTAGTAAGACTAACGGTATTTATTCATAGACAGAATGGTTTTCTCTTTTCTGAAAAATTGAGTTGTAATTAAGCGATCTTTCAACGTTTGTCTTTCTTTTCCTCGTCATTTGTTTATACAAGTATTTACCACCAATCACCTACCATGATACAAGTATTCGAGTTTGGTAGAACATGTTGAAAACATTATGCTACATGGTTGAATTTGCAGTGAAGTGGATGACTCGGACAACGAGTTTCAACATGGAAGTAGCAAAAGCTGTATGTGCACAATCATGTAACCAGTGTCTCCTTCCTTGATCTATTGGCCAATATGTATTCAGAGCAAAGGGGTTTTCAATGGCAGCAGCTCATATAGTTGAGATAGAATCCTCTTTCTCCGACCGAGTTTCTGTACTCTCTTATCCTGTGCACCTTTGTTATATATACATATAGAGAGAGATGAATATAGTTTGCAAAAGAAGATTGGATAAGAAGAGGAACTTTTGGATGTGTGTGTACCTTTTGTAGCCACTTGATTTGTCAATTTTGTGCTGTGTTAAAGATTATTCAATGTACAAACATCTCTAATGCTACCCTGTCCTGTAATGATGAATCCACACCACAACTTTTGGAGTAGAAAATCCAAAAAAGAAAAAAGAAAAACAAAACTTCAAATGTTAATCCTTTTGAGTTCCTTGTAAATTACTAAACTTAATCATAATCAGTTTGTGCCTTATGGATTCAGTGAATCAATGGTGTTGGTTAAGTTCACGCGCCTTCTACGCGCGTGGGATGATTCCAAAGTACCATTTGACAAATGCAAATGCTGAGACTTGGCCATATCTCATCCACACAGACATTACCAAAAGACTTTACTACAGAACAGCTTCGAACATCAAAACAATTCTTCAACTAAAGAAACCCATTAAACGAATGATGTCAGTGGCTTCGCCGATTCAATGTATCAGGATTCTTAATCCATCTTCTTCTTCTTCTTCTTCATCTTGTTCCTCAACAACTTCGTCGTCTTTCAGATTCTCAGCGACTAAGCCATGTGTATTCGTTATCAGATGTTCTCAGACCGAAGGTCCCTTGAGAAGACCCTCGGCTCCTCCTACTCTCCGGGAGCCTTCGCCATCGCAGAAACCTGTTCCTCCTACGCCGTCTTCTTCTCCTCCGCCACCTCCTCCGCAGATATCGGTGGCTGTTGATGGTAAGAGTGCAATTACGGTGGAGTTTCAGAGACAGAAGGCTAAAGAGCTTCAGGATTACTTTAAGCAGAAGAAGCTTGAAGCAGCTGGTCAAGGCCCCTTTTTTGGTTTCCAACCTAAAAATGAGATCTCTAATGGAAGGTTACTTCCTTTACTTTTACTATGGTCTCAATTCTCGGATTTGATTGCTTGGTCCTAAGAGAGAGATGAATTTTGAGTATTGTGGCTCTTCTTGGATACTGGTAGTTTAGAGAACAAACTGACTACAATTTGATGATGTTAAGTGGTTCTTCATAAGCTTATATGTATCCTGATGTTATATGATTCATTAGTTTGCATTGTGTTCTTGCTTTTTCAAAGCCCTGATTCTCCATTGGGTTTGTGGGTTGCTCTGGTTCTTAAAGCAAGTTGGTGGTCGTTGATGTTTCGTCATTCTGCAGCATAACCTTCAAATTTAGACATACAGAGAGCCTAAAGTTTCACACTTTGATGTGTTCTGTCATGTTTGCTTTTGCCCAATTTGCCTGTGCATTTGTCTTAGGAAGTCTTAAAACTCATGCGCGTCTTCTGCTTGATAATAGCACACAAATCCTCGGTGTTTGAGTGTATCGAGTTCTTACTAATACGTACACAAGAACCGTGGTTGATCCAAGACTAAACTTGAGATATTGTATGTAAATTCGATGATGTTTAGTGGTTCTCCATAAGCTTATATGATTCCTGATGTTATATGATTCATTGGTTTGCAACAGAACCTTCAAATTCTGACATACAGAGAGCCTAAAGTTTCACACTTTGATGAGTTTTCAATGTGTTCTTGCAGTAAGATAGAGTGATGTTACTCTGATTGCCCTGGTTTTTAAAACAATTTGGTGATCGTTGATGCTTAGTCATCTGCAGCAGGACCCTTCAAATTTAGAAACACTTTGATGAGTTCTGTAGTGTTTGTTTTGCCCAATTTGCATGTGCATTTTGTCTTAAGTAGACGGAATTTTCATGCGTGTCTTCTGCTTCCTAATACTACACGATTCCTCGGTGTTTGAATATATCGAGTTCTTTCATACAAGAATTGTGGTTGATCCAAGACTAAACTTGAGATATCTCTCTGTGCTTGCAATGGTGTTTGTTTGCAGGTGGGCTATGTTTGGTTTCGCGGTTGGGATGCTGACCGAGTATGCAACAGGCTCAGACCTTGTCGACCAAGTTAAGATTCTTCTCTCCAATTTCGGCATTATAGACTTGGAATAATAAGAGTGTTGTGTTATATAGATACCCCCTTTCTCTCTTGTCGCCGATTTCTATGTTCAATCTTCATCTTGTTTTGTATTCTTCTTCTTCCTGTATATGTATCACTAAAGTCTTTAAATACAGGGCCATTTGTGTATTCAACGACTTTTTATCTTCAAATGATAAGATATATGATCTATGAATCGATTCCAAAATGCATACAAAAGGAATATGACTTTTTGAGGATTAGAATGAAAGTATTCTCGTTTCAAAGTATGATCAGTGTTCTCTCTTCCAAAAGAAATCTCAGATCTTCTTAAGGAATCTGTGCAATCTCGAGAAGAATTTTGTGGAGAGATTGAGGCTTTGAGAAGAAAGGACAATGATCACTTCCTTTGATCTTGAAGACTCCTTCAGGGCTGTTCTCTCTCACTACCTTCTCTTGAACGTCTGGTGAGAGCGCACGGTCATCTAGCGTCTGAACATAGAATCTTCTCCCTTTCCCGTATCTTTCTGCGGTCAGAGTTACCTTCTCCATCATTGGTCCAAGCGGTACAGGTCTCATTGAGATCATCGCCAATGCTATATCCTGAAAAACCATAAACCAGAATCGATTAAACAGGTGTAGACTTTGACAGGTGATTATCAAGAACCGGTCAGTGAAGTTCAAGAATTAGTGTCTTTGAGTTTAACCTTGTTGGGTGATTGATTGAAATACAAGCCTTTCATGTGTTGTTTCTCGAACATGAACCCCGTAGGAGGCTTGTCTTTTCCGTTCCCATAGATCAAGAACTGTGACTCTTTCATGAACCGTTCAGCGGAACCAAGCTGCAGCAGTGTAGACGGTTTCTCACAACAGAAACAAAAACTATATCTCGTTTACTCTAATGCAACTCAAGAGTGTTTGTTTATTACCTCTTCAGAGAAAACATCAAAGGGTCTTTGGCCATCAGAAACCATTGTTGCACATACAAATATAGCTTTGGAGATTTTCTCTGGAAACCGCTCTAACGCGTATGAAATGGGCGCACCTCCAGTACTATGACCCACCAGAATAACCTGCATAAAACAACAGACTCGTATCTCATTGCTTCCTTATGCATATTCGTGGGATCAAATGGTTTATACAGCAATTCTAACATTTTCTTCTTCAGGGAGATTTTCGATGTACTCAATCAATGGTTTTGAATACTCCTCCAATGTAGAGACAGTGTTTGTGTCTGTCATATTAAAACCGGATCCAGTGAGGTCGATTGTAATAGCAGACAGTGCCGACTCCTCCAATGAGGCAACAATTTTGTACCAACACCATGCTCCAAAACCTTCACCGTGCACCAGGACGAATTTCTTCACTGCCAAGCTCTCTGATGAAAAATCAGGTACCTGAAGAAAGAAAGTAGATACATGGTTCAAAACTAATGTTCTATAATCATTCATTCTTTAATCAGTTTTAGAGCAGTTACAGCATCAGTCTATAAAGCAATGACAAGGTGTGATATGAACCAATAAGTGAAGAAGATTCACTCTCAACCAGAAAAGTTATGCAATTTCAGTTCTCTCTCAGAAAACCAAGACTTCTTTTCTCACTCATTCTTTAGTCATAGCAAAGCCAGTTTAGTTGCAAACAATAGCAGCATAAATTGCACTGTAATGACAAGCAAATTTTTAAACAAGAGGAGCGACAAAAACCTCTTTAGACAAAGAAAAGTTGATCACTACTTATGTTGTAAGGTTGTGGTGTGGCCAAATATAGTTTTTTAGATAAGTTGATCACTACTTATCTGGTCCCAACCCAGTGTCAGTATAAGAACATTTCTTTTGTGGATAAAGTTGATATATCCAACAGAAAAGTTAGAGATCTTTGAGAACTAATAACATCTCTTATCCAATTTTTGTAACAAAGAATCTTTTCCTCTCCCACTTTTGTTATGACCTTTTCTTCTCATATATATAAAAAAGTTCCCAACAATCATTAAACCAACAGCTATTTTCAATCAATATTATTGAACCAAAAAGGCGAAATAATCATTATATCATATATATTATATATAAAGGATTGGATGAGTGAAAAAGCTTTGAACTTTTCTAGAAAAGATTAAGAATTTGTGGTCAAATGTGGAGATTCAGTAGTGAGACCTGCTTGCCATTAGAAAACGGATCAGAGAGGGCCCGTTGTTTCCTCGTGCTTGTAGAGCCGACCCGTCTAGACATGGATCCATCGAATCTCTGAGAAAGCTGAGCTTGATGAATCGCCATGGACAGAGCTCGTCGATGCAACATCTCTTCATCGGCAAGCAGTTTTCTCTGTGAACGATTCATTCTCTTGCTCTTAGATCCATCTTTGCTATCTTTCTTCATCATGGAGATAATCTTGTTACCCATCTTTCCAAATCAAGAGTCAAGGCTAACCCAGAAGCTGAATTCGAGTTTCAAAGGAGGACAATTCAAGAAAATTCTCGAGAAAATGGCATGTTTCCGAGAAAGTCAAACTCTTTAGAGTCTTGCCCTAAGATGGGATCCGCATAGGCTTATTACAGAGAGAGAGAGAGAGGGAGAGAGAGAGAGTAGGTGAAGAAGCAATCGGTCATTAATTACGAATACAGTTGTTTCTGAATTTTGTACCACCACAAGAAAAAATAAAACACAGGATAGAGACAGATTTGGACATAACACATAAGCAGGCAAAGTTTGTCGAGACAGTAGATTGGTAAGAGATTTGCTCTGAGTGTTCCTCAATGTCTTAAGATATGAAGAGTTCACACTTCACACTGCTCCTTCCTTAGTATTTCAGAATACTTTTATTTTTTCCTGATCTCCAAGTATAATAACATTATTTTACTTTGATGGGAAGTATATAAAGGTTTTGACTTTCTTTTTCAGCATTTAGTAATTAGTATACTGGATTTCGTTGTAGATAGAACATTACATGTGACATGGATGCCTCAACATTTTGTCTCTGTTTATTTAAGGTCTGATTGGTAACATGAGTAATATCATGTGTTTAGATTGAGTTATGGGTAATTCACTTTTCACTCAAACATGTCATCAATCATAATTTTGTTTTAAAACTAATTTTGAGTTTGGGTTTAACTTTTTGTTGAGTTGTTTGACAAGATTCCTAACTTTTATTTCTATAACAAACTTATTACATAAATGATAAATCTAACGTAGTTTATATCTACTGTACACATACTAAAAGAATGTTATTGAAGCAGCTCATATTTTAGCAAGAAAGGGCCTCCAAACCACATATTCTTTGCAAACTGTATTTATCCACCGATTTAGTTGGCAAACATATTGTACTCTGACTTTTTAAGTTCAAATTAATATAAATTTCTTTTGCCGAAATAAATAATCTATAGTTTATACCACACAATTTTTTTAATTTAAAGTTAGTTCAAAACTCAACTTCAAAAATACATGTTACCAATCAGAGCTAACATTTTTTTTTTTAATAAAACTAATACTCCCAAAATTTTAAGATTATTGAGAAGCAACATCTATTCTAATAAAATTTGAACTCATGTTTGGTATGATCCACCACTTCTGATTAAAAATAAGATCATTCCTCGGTATCCAAATTTGCAACAACAAAATTAGAAAGAAGTTTCACATAGTTAAGACATTGGACGAAACTCTCCTAAAACAATATTGATATTTGTAAAGGTATCATCACCATGAAGAATATCCGCACATGTTGGTCCGGATATGAGAATCATCCAATATTTTTTGGGGCTAGATCACATTAGAAGAGTGGTTTGATCCCTTAAAAACTTGATATTTTTTCATCCGTTTGCAAGCAAAATCTCTGACTCTGCAATATCCTTCTTAAAAATACTTTACCAGATCTTGCTTAATGTAATTTGCGATCATCACTATGAGATACACGTTATAAAGGTGATAATAACGATAACCATGCATTCGAGAATTCACAAGAAATAAAAACTCAGGAATCTTGGTGACACGCAAAACATTATTTTGGTGGAATAAGTTATTAAGAAAAACAATCAGCTGAAATAACCGACTTCCACATGAAAAATATTACTTAGCAAGAAGAAGTTTACTTCACAGTAATCAAACTATTATGGTTAAATCCTGAAATCACGTTTCAAAGACCTCTCAGGAACCCAAAATAAAACCACAGTGTTTCCTGCTTCCCTATACACTTTGACTTTATTTCATTACTCAGACTCGGGAGTAAGTTCTCACTTCTCACCCACTTGTCCGTAGCACAGCACAAGTCAAAAGGGGGGTGCAGGTACCGTGAACCGCTAGAGCCTTCAAAGGCAGTAGCAACTGAGTCTTTCTTGTCTCAAACTCATAAATCCTTGAGCTGATTCCTACTTTGAGAAGGGCCTTTTTTATGTGCAAATACTACGACTTACGACGCTGGACCAAAAGTCCCCAAAAACCCGAGTGATGTTGATAGTGTTACTCCCCATTTCGATTGAGATTTATAGATTCCCGTTGAAGGAAAAAATCCATTGGAACGGCTGATATATAAAGCCTGAAAGGTCAGAACAATCATAACATTGTGTTGACAAAAGCCATCAAGTAGATCGTGGAGAAAACAATAATTTGATGTTCAATGCTACAAGTAATGGAGAGTAGCCGTGCGGCTAAAGCTTACCATATGTTGTTAAGTGAATATATCAAGTACCCGTGGATGATTTCTGGATCCACATTTGCTTCTGCAACACAGTGAAAACGAGTGTTTTATTTAAACATGGTTATAAGAGCATATTATATAGGGCGAAGTAAAAAGGGCTTTGGTTTGGCTTGCCTCCTGTGAATTAGGACCACCACCACCTCCTCTCCGGGATGGTTTACCCTCACCAGTCACCCCAAACCCGTCTTCTTTTCTATTGCGAGCTCCAACACGGCGACTAGAATGTCTAGCAGAACCTGGATAGAGTCAGAAGTTCAACCAGAACCAACATCACTTTTCTTGATTCATATAATGACAGGTTATGGCATTCTCTAACTTCAAATGAACTGACCATTCTCAAGAGAGTGCCCACCAGAGGAGTTCACCAATTCTCCAGATCTTTGCAATAATATCCTCTCTTTCACTTCTCCATTGTTTGCTGTAAAATATCATATACAAGATGAGTTGAGATGTCATGGAGCTCTACCATAAAACTTAAACTAATTACGTATTGGTCAACAAAGGAACAGAACCTGCTGAAGTTGACGGTTGATCCTCGCTAGACCCATCACCACGACGAAGAGGAGCCCACACAACACGATCAGGTCTGTCCTTGTTTCTTGTACGCCTCTCTTGCTTCTCACTATTGGTACCAGAAACATGATAGTCTTTCCCTGCACATTTACCATCTGTATTTTAAATTATCAGCCTAACTTGGGAAGCTAACATTTTGACTAAAATCCTACTCCCTTATAACCTGCTCGAGTGTTGGCTGGCCGAGGAGGTCGCTTAAAGTTTTCTGCTTCTGAGGGTTCCACTCTTTGCTCAGACTGGACAAAAGATGAAGACTGGCTTGGTCGCAGCTCATTCTTCTGAAGTATTCCCTTGATCAACCTTCCACCAAGATCACTCTTCTGATTCTGTCTTGAAGCTGAGGAGCTTCCGGAAAGATTAGTTTCCATCTGCTGTTCCGGTTGTGGTGGAGTGTTCTAAAAAGCCATTTTAACACATTGAAAAATGAGAAGCTGTACAAGACTTATGATTCTGTCTTCCACTATCAAATTACTAGATGAAAAAGTAATCAAGGCTTTTGTTCTGCAAGACTTTCTTATGGAGTTAAGGGTTCAATAGCTTACACCAGGATTGTCTCTGTCTTTCGATTTCAGGAGTAAAATCTTTTTCTTCCCAGAATCCATAGTCAATGCAATTCCTGGGAGAGAGCTATCCATGACAGAGGCTGCAGTTTGTGTAGATTAAAAACATTAATTAGAAGGAAAGTGGGCCTTTTATGAATAGGGGAAATACGTTATTAGCTAGTTATGAATACCTATAGCAGCTGATTGATTAACGGTTTCAGTTGCTGGTATGTCCTTTCCACTTGAATTTGGCTGATGAATATCTTGCTTGGAGCCACCAATGTCTGATGTAGCCTTCCGAAGAAGGCTTTTTGAAGTGTCTTTTTCCACATACTATAAAGAAAGCAAAAAATTTAAAATGGACACAACATGTTCTCCATAAGAAGGTAACATACGAGTAAAATGAAAGACTACGCTGCCTAGTCACCCCTAAAAGTCAGAGACGCACCTTTTTCTTTTCAGAATTTCGTTTCGAGGGCCTTGAACTTGGCTTGTTTGCAGAGACCGCTCTGGCTCTTCTACCTCCTCTTCGAACATCTAATATGCCCTGTTGCTTAAACAGAAACCAGAGATCAACAACAGAAGCTCCATTTCGAAATGGATAAATTACAAAGATATTCGTTCTAGGAAAGCTCTAATTTTCCGCTAGGTAAACTAAGTTGAAAAATAAAAACGGGAAGATACTGTACCTGGGATCCAGTCACAGTAGCACGTTTTTGACGTATAAATTCCATAAGAGGGGTAACAATGGGAGCCGGTTTTGCAGCGCCTACAAAGTGATGTTTGATAATAATTTCCATTAATTCATGAGAGAATAACGAACCTCGTCAGATAGAAGATATAGTAAAATGAATTTTCAAAACGAACCAGACTGCTCAGCTTCTCTTCTTTCCAACTGGATTTCAGCACTGGGAAGATTCTCAACAGGTTGAGCAATTAGCTTAAGGAACTCCAGATAGTCAGGGTCTTTGCTAATAGACCCTTCACGAGGATCTTTCTTGTCACATGGTTTCGGCACACGCTGTGAAGGTGCGTATTCAACTACGGCCTTGAACTGAGCACCTAACAGATATAAACCACATAATCACATCTCAGAAAAAACCACAATTACATATGCACTACTAGAATCACATGCAGTCACACCAAGAACAGATTAAAAGTCAAATACCCTTTTCATTAACAAACACATGCCCGTTGAAAAATGCAGCGAACTCATAAACATCTTCTGGTGCCTTGAAACCGACGTAGGCCCGTGAAAACTTCTGATTCTTATAGCTGAGGAAACAGAAAAAGAAAGACACATCACCTCAAGCACATCCACACATCATCGAGGAAACACTAAAACTCATACTGAGTAGAGAAGGCTTTTCAAAACGGAGAGAGACAGACCAATAAAAGCAGGAACTAGGTAGCGAGAATCTCTAACATAATCAGAGACGATGATTAACTAATAGTAATATACGGGTCAAACCTTATTCCCCTGAAATAAATTGATCATCTTCCTCAATTAATAGAAACCCTAAAATTAAGCAACAATTCCTAGAATCCAAAGTAAGCAGTACCCAGAAAGTAGAAAAAACCCATGAATCAAATTCAACATCATTTAAACAAAATGAAAGAATGAAAATAGAATCCTCACCTGGACTTCCCAGGACGAAAGGAAAACCAATAGTAACGATCACCGAAACGAGGCTCGATTTGGGATAAGAGATCGGACTGAGAAAGCGAAGGCGGTAAGTGCCGTACAACCACCTTCCTCTTCGGTGACGGGTCCTTCATCAGATTGTAAGAACCCTAATTTGTTCTAGCAAAGCCGCAAAATCAAAGAGAAACACGACGAAGAAAAGTGAAACTCATCAGACGCAGTGAAGAGAAACAAAAATCGCACGCAATTTTTGCCCTAATTTGGTTTCCTCTCTTCGCTTCCCTCTCTCTCTAGAAAAAAAAATTAAATAAAAAAAGGAAAATTCTCATGAATTTCGAACTCGAGAAGAAAAGGGTAAAGTAGGTCTACGTGGACTTCCGAATTACAATGGGCCAAAATTTGGGCCTATCGTCCACTTTTAACATTTACCTATTACAACATATTGACGGTAAGATGAAGACTAAATATATCGAACGGTATATAATCACTCTAATTAGGTAATCCGCGTTTCATGTGATAACTATTAGTTTGTATTAGACAAAACTTCTGGTCTAGTCATTCCGTATAAGTTGCTGCAATAAAGATATTTGCTTTCTTGTCTAAAGAGTTGTACATTATATCTTACATTTCTCGTCGCTTCAGCTTTCCTCTTTTCAAGCAAGTAAGCTTCTATCTTCTCTTTCTTTGCTTCATCGATTGTCTTTGATCTATTGATTCTTCTGGTTCTGTTCTGCTTTTTGTTGTTGTTCAATTCCTCTTGGCAAGCAATTTATATATTTTGTCTCGGAAATTTGACCAAGTTTTGGGTGTTTAGTTTCTGATTAATCTGTGAAAGATCAAAACTTTACTCTGACCCTTTCTTAGAGAGATCAACAAAAATTTCATTGTTTTTGTTGCAGGAAAAAAGGTATATGACTTTGTTCAAGATGGGTGGAGATTTGATGGAAGATGATTGGGAATTTGCCTCATCGTCAAACCCTAGCAGAACCCTAGTTCTTGTGGGCCGTACTGGAAACGGAAAGAGCGCAACAGGGAATAGCATCCTTGGAAAGAAAGCGTTTAGGTCAAGAGTAAGTACTCTAGGAGTGACAAGCACATGCGAGTCACACAGAGTTGTCCAAGAAGATGGGCAGGTCATCAATGTCGTTGACACTCCTGGTAAACTAACAAAGACCAATTATTTTCATTGAAAGTCTGAATCTTTACTCAAGTCCAAGTCCAATTGTGTTGCAGTTTGATCTGCTAATCTTGGGTGATCTTTTGCAGGTCTGTTTGATTTGTCAATGGCAGCTGCTGTTATCTGTAAAGAGATTGTGAGATGCATGACTCTGGCTGAAGATGGAATCAGTGCTGTTCTGTTGGTGTTCTCTGTGAGGGGTCGTCTCTCAGAAGAGGAGAAATCCGCGGTTTATCACTTGCAAACGCTGTTTGGGAGTAAAATTGCTGATTATCTGATCGTTGTTTTCACGGGTGGCGATGAGTTGGAAGAGAATGAAGAGACATTGGAGGAGTATTTGGCTCAGGCTTGCCCTGAGTTTCTGAAAGTCAGTGTCTTTTTGGATTTTTGAAAAGGATAAATAAGAAGACTTTTTTTCCAGCTTGCTTATGCATATTTTGAATTGTGTGGTTTGCAGGAGATTCTTGAGCTATGTGACAACCGAATGGTACTGTTTGATAACAAGACTGCGGATAAGAGCAAGAAAGCTGAGCAAGTTGAGAAGCTTCTCTCACTGGTTGATTCTATTGCTAGAAAGAACAATGGAAAACCGTTTACAGATGAATTGTTCCAGGAGCTACAGGTAAATTTCCCTTTGTTTTTTCGATTTATTCCTTTGATCTGTTTTGAAGCAGAGAATGCTTATAATTGATTGCTTTCTCAGGAAGAGGCTATCAAGCTACGTGACCAGAAAAAGGAGGTTGAATCGCTGAAGGGTTATTCAAAGAATGAGATATCTGAATTCAAGAAGCAGATAGAGATATCGTATGACCGGCAACTTAATCGCATCACAGAGATGGTAATTCTATTTATTACAGTCTAGAATATTGTTTAGATACCACTCTACAGAGAATGTACCAAATTGGAATGAGTATATCAGTTACTTAATGGGTTAAGCTGTCTGATTCAATCAGTTTGTCTCCTTACAAGAAATTAGCTGTAGAGACAAAAGCTGTTCTTTGTTGATCAATATGTACTAAGAACTTAGTAGATTTCATTTTGCCATTTATGTCATAGAATGGTGTTATAGCATCCTAATCAACTTACTGTTTCCATGTTGTTGTCCAGGTGGAGACAAAGCTGAGAGAAACATCAAACAGGCTAGAGCAGCAGCTGGGTGAAGAACAAGCCGCAAGACTTGAAGCAGAAAAGAGAGCAAACGAAGTCCAGAAACGGTCAAGCGATGAGATTAAGAAGCTTAGAGAGAATCTGGAGAGGGCGGAAAAAGAGACAAAGGAGCTCCAGAAAAAACTGGGAAAGTGTATCAATCTGTAATTGAGAAATGGAAGCTTCGTTGAAGCCTGATAAGAAGGGTGCTACAACTTATAAATATAACTAAAGACGCATGCATGTGAATATCTTTTCATGCTGGACGAATTTGAGTTTGAGTTGATTTTTATTTTCTATGGTTAAAAAGTTTAGTCTTTCTGGTTTTGATATGATAAGTTAGCCTACTGGCAAGAGATACTTGTTCTCTATAGTTACCTTGTTCAACTATCGGGTAGTTTCACGTTACCATTTTCTTCTTCACAAACACCACATGTGCATACCGAAGAGGATGGATGAAACATTTCTCTAAAACTATTTCCAATTGTACTCTAAATTTTGTTTTAAAATAAAATTTGGAGCAAAATTATCTCCACCCTTACTTCACGTCTCATTTTAAAATGGAATAAAAAATGAATTTATTTTAAAAATAGAGTAAAATTATAGAGTTATTTCATTATGTCAATTGATAATCTACTATTTTTTTTTTTTTGGATAAACCCTATCGGCTGATCCGGTCGGCCCCGGTAGGAACGCACCAAAGTACTATAAAGTGGACTTCTCCCTGGTTCAACGGTTCAACGGACACCATGAGCTTCGAGCGAACTCGAGTCAACGAGCCATGAGATCCATGAGATCCAATTGAGCCACCACACTACTTATCCCGAGTTTGAAATGCCTTCCGACTAATGCCAAGGGGTAGCCAGATCGCCTGTTACTGGACTACCAGATAAACTGTTTGGGCCTTTGATCCAAACCCAGACTTTCCACATAATTGTGTTTTTTGTTCCACTATTTTATTTCACATTTTGATTTCTTTTATGTTTTTGTTATTTTATTGCAAATTGATTAAAATTCTCAATAAAATAAAATTAACAGTTATTTTTTTGGTGGATTATCATAATTTGGTATATTATTGGTTGAAAGATTAATTTTAAAATTGATAATTGTTAGGATTTGAATAGTTAAAAAGATAATTAAAAGAATTTGGAAGCTGTTTGGCTAAAAAAAAAATTTTGGAAGCTAAACAAGTTATTATTGGAATCTATTTAATTAAAAAAGGTAAAAAGACAAATAAGAGATTATTGGATGCTGTTTAGGAGATTTTTTGTCTTCTCGGAGGTAAGTCTCCTACACAACAAGAGCAAGATGTAAAGGTTTGGAAAACACGATAGAAGAGTATTTTTCTGATGGCTCTCTGACGCTCAAGTAAAAAAATAGTAAAAGAAAAACCACAAAATAGTAAATTGGAGAGGAAAAAAGATCGGAATACGGAAAGAAAAGTGGGCTGAAAGCTCTTATGAAGGAACGAGTCTATATGGGCCTAAGTTTAGTAGGCTCTTTGAGGTGGAAAAGAGAAGAAGTATAAGAGTTTGGGGGTGGAAATGTTCCACTGTTTAGGAACCGCCATGGAGTGGAAGTAAAAAAGTGTTTGGAGTGATGACCGAAAAATGAGAGTGCTAAACCTTTGAGTTACGAGTATCTAGAGAGATAGCATAAACCTAATTAAAGGAAGCAAAAAGAATGAACTCATATCTCGTTGGAAAGAGTTAAGTATTTATATAATTTTACCTGATCTGGATTAATATACCAAGTCGGACCTTAGTCTGTCGGGTCGACGGGTCGGTTTGGGATCCAGCGTGATTGGATTCGAATCTTGTTGATTGTGTCATGCTTCTGATGTCTCACAAGCTTTCCATGGCATCTTCTGCCAGCTGTCAGATTAGCTCTTGGTGCATCCTTTTCGCTCTCAGTGTACGTACGGTTCGAGTTCGGCGATTCAGACGTGCTATGGCCTTTGCTAAGCCACTATATTCTTCTGTATCCCGTGAGTAGTCACTATCACCTGACACATGAAAGCATTGAGCATTAAGTGCTGATCTCACGGGTTTACAAGGGTATGGGCAATCGACTTAGCCAAACTCATATTCCAATTATCAAGTTGGGGAAAATTTGAATAGTATTTCCCGCTTAAGAAGTTATTTATAGCTGGCCTGGATCTGGCTATCGAGGTTGTCTTCCTGGATGTTGTCTTTCTTCGGGTACTGGTGGGGTTGCGGGCCTAGAGTTGTTTTTTAACAAGCTCGTTGGTCCTCCAAAAGTTTTAAATTTATAAAACTCTAGTGTCTGCAAGTGCACAGATGTACGTTGTAGGACTTAGGGTGTCGATCCACAGGGAGGATGTCTAATCTGCAAGAAGCAACAAACTAGGAAGTAAGCAAACTCATAAACCAATAAAAGATTTAGGGTTTTTGATTAGGATCCTAAACTAAACCTAATCTAATATTCACAAGAAATGCAATGCAGGATGAATTGTTAAAAGAACATCTAAACCATATCGACTCAAACTAAAGACTCTCTAACTCCTAGGTGGCGATTTAGACTTCTCCGGTTTACTCTAATCCATGTACGGTGGCATTTCCAATTAGCTTCCAGGCGATTTATCTTCATCTGTTTCTGGGAATCTGCATTGAACTAGAATAAACACATGTATGATTAACCGACTGTCGTCACCTTAATCAACTAATCTCTTAGATCTAGCAATTAAATCTCGCTCTCATGCTAAACTTAAGATCATGCATTGAACATTGAATTCGTCTGCTCATATCTTCTCTATAGGTAGCTTTCGACTCCTATAGCGACTATGTTCTTCTGAAGCTAGGTACGGATGATCTGATACAGCATTCTCGTGGCTCTGATCGATCCTAGGCTCAGAGAATGGGTCATGAATCTACTCTCATGCTTTACGAATAACTTAGAAGAAATGAGATCCAGAATATGGCTAAGAACAATAGAAATCCTAATCGATATATATATGCTTGTCGATATCTTCAAACAACTTGACTCTCTGGGACTAATCTACATGATGCAATGAATGATAAAAGACATAGAAGAATGCAGAAGAATGAAACAAAAAAAGTTAATAAGATAAAAAGGAGGAAGAACAATGGATCTGGGAAAGAATCCCCATCTCCATCGCTTCACCCTAGAAAAACAAAGTTTGGTGGCTCAAAATCTCATTACAGGAGCACACACCCGTTTAGGGCGGCTAAACAATGTATTTATAGGTCCTAAGGTCTTCCAGGTCTCATTTAGGGATTCTCTGAAGAGAAATGGCGAAGTGGGCTTTGATGTTGGGCCTTGTGGCTCGTCCTAAGGTCCACCGGGGGTGAGAGTTTTCCAGGACAGATAAAACATGTGTTTCCCGAGGGTGAGAGACTTCCAGGACTGGTGAACTAGGTCAACTTGTTCTCCATGTATCTTTTGATTGCACCGTTGGATCTTTGTGATGTAAAGTGCTATGGAAATCTGGTTGTCTCCTCTTGATTGTCTCTAAATTTGAGCTGGATCGGACGGTGAGAAAGTCTTCATTTGAGGCTGAAATTCTGACGGTCTGACTCTGAGATAAAAATGTGGATTTCTTCCATTTTGCCATCATATTCCCTAAGTTTCCTGAAAAGAGCATTGAAACTACAAATACATGGAAATCATAATAAAAGTTTCTAAAACTAAGTAAAACCTTTGAAAAAGTATTTGAAATTAGTGGTGAAAAGTGGTCAAAATCAGGTGTTATCAACTCCCCCAGACTTAAAACTTTGTTTGTCCTCAAACAAAACAAGATCTAATCTTGAAAAATATCATTCAACAAAAATGCGAGTGAACTCAAAAATATCAGCAACCATACTTCTAGACTTTAATTATGGACAATGCATCAATCAGATCAAGTCTAGAAAATTCTCACCAAAATACAAACATAACTAGTTCGTTAATCCGTCATGCGAAAATCCACACACTTAGAACTAACTTCCAGTCAACTAGCTCTTAACATTCATTAAAGGTTTCAGTGGTTCTCATCAAAAGGATATTAAACAAGGCATTCAAGGGTAGGTATCAAAAAAGTTTTTTAATGGTAAGGCTGATGTGTTTAAGGTTACCTTTTTCTGGAGAGACAGGATATTATGCAAAACAGCAAGAGAGGATGGAACTGTAAATGCCCCCATAGTTTCAGTCACATTCTTCTTGCTTCAAGATTTCTGATCTCCTTTCTTCAGGTTCTCCTTATATTTCCCCCAGACTTGGATTTTTGTCCAGGTTGTGAATCCATAACTCCTTAAGTAAATACCTATTGCCTTGGCTCAAGTGATTTCGGCTTCTAAGACTCTTTAGGCTTTTAGTTTGCTTTTCTTTCTTTCTTTTTCTCTTTTTTCATTTTTTTTCTTTTTTTTGAGAAATGGGAAACACCTTTTGACTTGAAGTCTTAGGGAGCACGAAAATTACCTTTAAGAATGAGCTTTTCTGAGGCATCATAAGATTTCTGGCACACTCCCTTCTGGTCTCTTTCAGTCTTTCTCTTGAGTGACTGAAAACTATGTTGTTCCTCCCTCTCCGGCGTTTTTGCACATATCTGTCAAATTAGACTCAAAAGAATGCAGGAGGTTAGAACATAAAGGTTTGGGTTAAGGGTGTGGTACCAGCTAAAGATGAACTGGCCATCTAGGACAACAAAGAGTGGTATCAATAAGGAAAAGATGTCCTAGATGTATATTATGATGCCTTTTTAAAACCATTGACGAGAAAATTAGATGTCAAGATTAAGTCCAAGTAAAATGAGCTAGTATATTCTGGCAGAAAAGATCTTCATGAATAGAAGTCCTCTGGTGGGATTTAGTAGTGGAAGTACTCTAGCTACCGCCTAGTCTAGTACTAAACCTTGAAAGAGCTTTTATGAGTGATTGGTGCAGAAGCAAACAGGTTGGTTATCATCATCGATTTTATCATTATTCCCTCAAAATGTTTTTGACCTTTGAAAACACTTTTTAAAACTAAAAAGACTTTGAAAAGGTTTTAATAAAAATCAAAAAATTTAAAAAATTTTAAAGAAAATGCATAATGCAAGGCTCATGCAAGAAAATGTGGTTAGAAATGGATGAAATCCTCCCCCAGACTTAAATCACACTGCTCCCAGTGTGAAATAAATCAGGCAAGGATGAGAAATAGAGTATGTGAAAGATTTAAAAAGTTTAAGGGAAAGAAAACTTACCTGGTGGTGGTGATGCTTGATCAAACTTGGATGCTAGGGATCCAAAACTGATTTGAACAAAGTGGTGGTGGTGGTGAAAGTGGCCAAGGATGGATTTGAGGTGGCCAAGGGTGGATGGAAGTGGCCAAGGTGGCCGGATGTGCTGGCCGCGGATGA